CTCCCGCTGGAGGCGCAAGGGAAGGGCCTTCCGGTCTCCTCCAGCTTCTGCTAGTTGCTAGTTGCCGGCCGTCCTCAGCTTGTAGAGGCATCACCCCAGTCTCAGCCTCCTCCTTCACCTGGAGCTCTCCCTGGGTGTCTCTGTGTCCAGATTTTCCTCTTCTGTTTTTTATTTTTATTTTTAGAGACAAGGTCTCTCTCTGTCATCCAGGCTGGAGTGCAGGTCTGCCATCATAGCACTGCAGCCTCAACCTTCTGGGCCAATCAATCCTCCCACCACAGCCTCCCAACTAGCTGGAACTACGCAGCTCACGTGTGCTTCTTCTAAGTGATATTGGCGTTAAGGCCCACCCGAATCCCCTATGACTTCCTGTTAAGTTGATTACACCAGCAAAGACCTTATTTCCAAATAAGGTCGAATTTCCAGGTTCTGGATGGACATAAAATTTAGGGGAACTTTATTCAACAAAATATGCTATGAGAACAAGAAAACTAGGTAAAGTGCCAGAGAGCGGGGGTGGAGCTACTGTTGCTGGGGGAGTGAGGTGGGGGTCAGGGGGTGCCCCTCTGAGTAGGTGACCTTTGAACTCACATAGAAAGACAATAGGATGTCAGCCCTGGGAAGAGTAGTATTCACTTCTTAGGGTAAATTTCTTTCTTTGTTTCTTCTAATATATATTTTTAGTAGAGACAGGGTTTCACCATGTTGGCCAGACTGGTATTGAACTCCTGGTCTCAAGTAATTCACCCACCTTGGCCTCCCAAGATGCTGGGATTACAGGTGTGAGCCACCACACCCAGTCCTAGGGTAAATTTCTTTTCAGACAATTAGTTTTCATCCTAAGCCAGGACATCTCCACACAGACGACAGGCTAAAATCAACTGAGAAGCTCAAAAAATATATGTGGTAATTCTCAGACCAACTAAACAGAATCGCTGGGGGTTAGGCTCATACCGGGGTATTTTTGAAAGCTCCCCAGGTGATTCTGGTGAGAAGCTGGGATTAGGAAGTCCAGTGGAACCCCGGGCACATGATGGAATCACATCTTCTAAACGCTTTGTAGGGATGTTCTCACCAAACCTCCTACCGTAATAGGAATTACCCATGCCTGGGTCCCGGGGCGTGTGACACATGCATGGGGATGCACCCCGGGTATCAGGATTTCCCAGGCTCCCCAGGTGATCCTATCATGTCCCATTTAGCCCTAGCTGTGTCCTGAAGATGTTTGGGGGTGACAGGCATGCAGAGGAAGGCAAAAAATTGGGCTGGAAAAGGACCTCCGTGATTCCAAGAATGTAACACTTTGGACGTCGCACAGTAGTCCCTGGGTCTCAGGCCCCGGATCAAAGAGTTGTAGAGAGATGGTTTCAGAAAAGGAGGAGGGAGGCAGTGGAGGGCCCTGGCTCAGAGCAGAGGCATGATGTGGCCTGGCCCCAGTTCAAACCCCAGGCCATTCGGTATAGCATTTTCTGTGACCTCGAGCAAGCAGCTTCACCTCTTTAGCCTCAGTTTTCTCATCTGTGAAATGAGAAGAGTAACAGTACCTGATCCATAGGGTTGTCATAAAACTGAAATTCAGGAGCATACAGAGAGCATCTCCCACAGGGCCTGACAGCTGTCAGCACTCAGTCAATGGGAGCCGGGATGTTTCCCGAGAGGCGTGTGTCACCCGTCCTACACTCTGGCCTAGTGCCCGGGGAGCCACAGGATCTTATTGGGGTGCTGGCGACCATCAGCTGGCCAGCTCGGCCCAGGTTGCGGATCCTCCAGGTTGGAAATAATGCCAAGGATGGCATTTGTGACCTCGCCGACACCAGCAAAGGTTCCAAAGCAATGACTGGGTACAAGTTGCTGAGCTCCAGAGCTCTTTGTAGAGGGAACGTCTGCCTTGATCTTCAGACGGAGCTTGGACCTGGCTTTGCTGCCTGTCTCTCGGGGGATGGGGCCAGCCAGGAGCACCTGTCAGCACAGGGCCTGGCCAGCGCACAGTTTAGCCTTGATGAGCAGATGAATCCCCGACCCCTGTTGTGAGCATAGGCGGCGGCTGGGCTGTGGAGACTCCCTTTTTTGGGGGGACCACAGATAGGCCGCTCCTTGGGATGCCACAAGCCCTGCCATGGGACTCCAGGCTGTGCTCCACCACCCTGCCTGGCTCAGGGGCCAGCCAGCACCCTGAGCTGTTCCCAATAATGCTATAAAGCAGAGCTGTCATTTCCCACAGTGTGCCGCATCTGTCTTCATTGAAGCATGCTCTTGGTAATCTCATTGTGGGGTTTTCCATTACAAAGTTTGATTAATTCCATAAATATTAAAATAAGACAGATAATTAGAATCCAGGTACTCACTGTTACACAAAAGCAGTAACGTCGGCACTAAATTATTATTATTAATAATAAGCGCTCATACAGTCCTGGTAATAAGTGCACAGGAAAATAGACTCACAGTCATTGTTATTAATATTGTCCCCCCCAAGACGGTCTTGGGTAGTGGCTGAAGCTCTCTCTGTGTCCTAGGAGTGGACTGAAGCGCAGTGAGGAGAAGTGATTTGCAAAGACAAATAGGGTGGGAGGCTCGTTTTTGGCTCAAGCCTGGGGTGCACTGACTTAGTAGTCTCCTGCTTCTGGCCCCAGGAGGCAATTTCTCCCCTTGGCTCCTTGCTGGCTTCCTCGTGTTTGGAGGCTGTTTGCAGGTCCTCCGTCTTCAGCAGCTCGTGGGATGGTGGGAGGGCTGGGGAGAGGCGAAGGACTCGGTCCCGTGGGTGTTTGTTTGAGAGCCAGAGCTGAATAATACGTGTCTCCAAGCCTCTATATAAATCATGTAGACAAGTTTAAACTATGAATCATTAAGGTAGAAGGGAGGGTACACCGAATCGATAAATAGCAAAGTAAGGGAAAAACTCTTGTTACTCTGAAGTTGAAACACCAATTTGTTGTGTTTGGTCACAGCTGTAATTGTCTCACTAATCACTTTATGGTGGATTCCCAAAGTGGCCACCTCAGAGAATGAACAAAGCCCTGTTCTTATTTTTAATCGGAGGCACAAGTCAACTATACCTAAAACTTTTTCTTTTTTCTTTCTTTCTTTGTTTTTTTATGTCCTTGTTATTAAAAAAGCCTTCTAGGCCAGGCACAGTGGATCACGCCTGTAATCCCAGCACTTTGGGAAGCAGAGGTGGGTGGATCACCTGAGGTCGGGAGTTCGAGGCCAGCCTGACCAACGTGGAGAAAACCCGTCTCTACTAAAAAATACAAAATTAGCTGGGCGTGGTGGTGCATGCCTGTAATCCCAGCTACCTGAGAGGCTGAGGCAGGAGAATCGCTTGAACACGGGAGGCAGGGGTTGCGGTGAACGGAGATTGTGCCATTGCACTCCAGCCTGGGTGACAAGAACAAACCTCCTTCTCAAAAAAAAAAAAAAAAAAAAAAAAAAGCCCTCAGCAGCTAATCAAGGAAATGGCACGGACTTTGGACTTTGGTCTTTGGGCTTCAGGTGGGGCTTTTCCCCTTGCTGCAGGCCACGCTGATTTGCTGGAACGTTGCTGATGTGCTGCTCAGGCCTGGCACCAGGGCAGACCCAGTGGAGAGAGGGACCACATCTTTGCAGACCGCTGCGGTGAGATTCATGCAGGCTGATGTCGCCCCTTCTCAGAAGGGCCCAGAACTGACAATGGGAGCTGCTACCCTGAGCCCATTTCTGACCAGTGAGGAGGGAAGTGGATGGGATAGAACACTTGGGAGAAATCTAGTGTCTGATTTGAGAGGTCCTGGGAGTCAGGAAGAAGGGCGTGCTTGGCTTGAGGAAGGATCAGGAAAGCAGAAAGGATTCCATGAGAGGGAAGACGCACAAAAGCTGCGCAGGAGACAGTGGTGATGGCTGCACAGCAACGGAAACGCACATCACGACATGGAACTGGACACTTAGAGATGGTGAAAACAGTAAATTTTACGTTACGTATATCTCATGACAATGAAACAAAAAGGCTATACTGGGTCATATTGGAACCCAAGGCAAAAGGAAAAACCAGTAATACTGATCCTGTTTGTATTTAAAGTCTTGATATTTTATTCAAGGATTTTTTGCATAAATTTAGATTTTTAAAAAATGTGTTAAAATTGTATCTCTCTTGATTGCTGTGTGTTTTGGCAGCACCTTAAAATTTTAAGCCCTAATCCAGACCCTGCACAAGAGGGATGGGCAATTCTCAGAAGGAAGGAGGATCCTTCTCCAAGGAGGACGGAAAGAGGAGGGAGGAGGTGTCTGTAGAAGCCAGGAGAGTCGCACAGGGGTGCTCTGAGCAGCTCAGGTGGACAAAGGACATTTCCTAATGCTGGAAAGTGGGTGTCTTCTCAAAGACCATTGCTCACTGGAAGCTGGGCTTGCAGGAGGCCTGTCAGAAGACGAGTGAGCCGAAGTACTCCAAAGGCCTTGGAAACCACTCCAAGCGGTGCTGGAAGTTAAGCGAGATGGGGGCGTGTCAAGGGCAGGTGCATGGCTTTGAGGGTGTCCCTGGAGTGGAGTGCAGGGGCCTGTCCACATGAGCTTTCTCTCTAGAAGAACCTTCAGGCAGAAAAAGGTGGAAGGAGCGCGACGATAGGAGAGGAGATTAAGAGCTATGACAGCTCTCAATGTTCTCTTGCCTCCCAAGGGGCGAGGGCTGTGGCCGGGGTGACATCCTGGAGCCCTGAAGGATGTGCAGCTGCTGCCAGTCCGTGAGGGCCTGTGGGGATGGGGCAGGAGAGTGAGACAGCCAGTGAGAATTGTGTTGGTCCCAGGGAGCTACTAGAACACCTCAGCTGATGGTCAGGAAGGGATGCAGGGATTGATGAAGGTCAACACGGGGTTCACAAAGACAAATCTAGCCAGGTACCCCTGCATCTGGGGGCGTTTCCTGCTTAGTAGAGGAGAGCATGTGGTAGACCTGGCATTTCTGAGCTCTCACTCGAGCCTCCTTTCATGTATTTATTTATTTTCATTGTTGTTGTTGTTTGTAGAGACGGGGGTCTCACTATGTTGCCCAGGCTGGTCTCAAACTCCTGGCCTCAAGAGAGTCTCCTGCTTTGGCCTCGAAGAGCTACAGGCATGAGCTACTGCGCCCAGCCTAACTCAAGCTTCTTAACTGGCGTCCTGTTTTCACACTTGCCCCTGCTACAATCTCAGTTATGTTACTTTCTTCAAAGCGCTGTCTAAAATTATCTCATTAATATTATCTCACTAACTAATGTGTTTATTGACTATTGCCTATCCCCCCTCATTACATAAACTCCCCTATAGGGGAAGGAACAGCATGCATCTTGTTCAATTTGGTATCTCCAGCCCTCAGAGAAGTACCCAGCACATAGTGGGAGCTTGATGTATATCCGTTGAATAAATGAATGCATGAGCCAATGAATGAAAATCTGGATTTCAGCCAAAGGCTTTTGGCCAAGTATTACACAGAAGGTGAAGAAAGTGACCTGGAAGATGGCACGCTGATGGGGACAGTTGCCTGGGTAAATAAATGAATGTTGCCTCATGGATCAGCGGGGTCTCTAGTGGAAGGCCACAGGGCTCTTGGCACTATCCATTCACGGTCAGTGACTTATGTTTGAACATCTTCAGGTGCACTCAAAGTGTGGCGTTCGGAGCAGGAGGCTGATGGCCTTGCCCTATTCCCACCACTCTGAGGTCACTAGGCCAAGTTTAGCAGAAATGGATGGCCCTTCTAAATGGGTAGGTCACTAGAGGAGAGCGACTGGCAAGGGCAGACTTGATGGGGCGGTGGCTGGTGCAGGTGGTAGTGGACAGATGGGATAATGCAGACATTTTTGGGAAAGGGATTAGGTTTAGTCCATGCGGCCCTAGGGAGTGAAATGGGGGGTGGAGGCTGGAAGTTACAGGCACGTGTTTGACCAGTGCAGGGGAGAGGTTCCTAACCAGTGGCACTGGCCTGCGCCGGACTCGGAGCCCTCTCGAAGGTGAAAGTGTTCTCCAAATAGGGGGCTTAGTACAGGGCCTGGCCCGGAGTGAAGTTCAGAATAAACACGACTATCATTTCTCTTGGATGAAGGTAATCTGAGGACTTCCACTGACTGCTCGTAGGGGAAGCGCTGGCCCAGTTTCCGTCTGAGGGTCTGTCTGAGGATAAGCGCATGGTGCCCCGGGAAAAATGAACTGCAGCGAAGAGGCATAAAGACAAGGTGGTGGTGGGGCTGGGGGAAGAAATGTCCGTGGATGCCTGGGACTCCAAGGCGCATGCAGAACCCGCTGGCAGTGACTGAGGGGTTCATGGCCAAGACCTCTGGGCACAGCCAGCAGCCTCTCAGAGGAAGCCTGGATTCTGCAGGCGGGCGATCTCCCGGCCCTGTCCAAATTCCCCACACCCGAGTGAGCAGAGATGTTCACGGAACCCATCTAAAAAGCCCAGAATTTTTGTGATGGCCTCAATCTATAGATTTGACTTGAAATACGTGGTTCTTATTAAATATCTTTTTGCTCTGATTGTGTTTTGCTTATGGCAGAAGGATGCACTGTGCTATCTTGTCAATGGCGCCAAATCTTGGAATTGGGCGTCATTGTGAGCAAGTGTACCCTCCGGTCACTCGCCTCTCTCACCCCTAATGCCGTGTCCTCCAGTCACTCACCTCTGTCACCCCTAACGCCATATCCTCTGGCCACTCACCTCTCTCACCCCTAATGCCATTCTCGTATTCTTGCCAGGTCTGGGACTCTGCAAAGGGCATTTCTCCTTTGGCCGCTGACTCTTAGCCATTAGAGTACACTGGGGGACAGGAGAGGAGAAGGAGGGGAGAGGAGAAGGAGGAGGGGAGAGGAGAAGGAAGAAGGGAGAGGAGAAAGAGGGGGAGGGGAGAGGAGGGGAGAGGAGAGGAGAAGGAGGAGGGGAGAGCAGAAGGAAGGGAGAGGAGAAGGAGGGAAGACGAGAAGGAGGGAAGAGGAGAAGGAGGAGAGAAGAGAAGGAGGAGGGGAGAGGAGAAGGAGGGGAGAGGAGAAAGAGGAGGCGAAGGGGGGAGGGGGAGGGGAGAGGAGAAAGAGGAGGGGAGGGGAGAAGTGGGAGGAGAGAGGAGAAGGAGGAGGGGAGAGGAGACTTTCTGTTCTCTGGTTATTGTTTCAGTTCTTGCTGCTCCAACAGTGGCATTTTGTCCTGTCCTGGGCACAACAGCAGTTTGTTCCAGCTGCCAGCTTCTGTTTAAGCTCCCAGAACCAGCCTCACCATGCCTCCCTAGAGGTCCCAGTCAGCAGCAGCTGGGCAACACCTGTGCCCTGGCGGGTCCCGTCTCCAAACTTCCAGGTCTTGATACACCCAGTCCCTTCCCATTGCTCCCCTAGTACTGGGGATAGTAGCTGCTTCCTGTTCATTATTATCAGTGTCCCTGGTCCCCTTTTTTTCTTTCAGCCCTTCATCACCTTTGTAACCAATTGCCTACATTAAATTCTATCTATTGAAAGAACTGCCTGGATACTGCTGGACTTTTGACTCTTGTCAATGGAAGCGGATGACAGCAGGGTTACCTGTCTGAAGGTCAGTAGGAGGTATATGGTGTGTGTGGAGGATGACAACAGTGGTTGTAGGATGAAGGTAAGAGGTTCAGAGAGGGACAGAGTACACACGATCTTCCCTAAGTTTTGTAATTTGTCCAGTGGTTGGGTGGAAAAGTGACCCAAAAGCTCTAGTGAAGGTGCCAGGGCTAGTTTTCAAGATGAGAAAAATTTACTTCCCAAAGAGTGTTTGTTTCTCACATGAAAAAAAAAAGAGATGAGAAGAAGAACAAAAAAAGGAGAAGAGGAAAACATGGAAATGGACCTGTGCAGACCCTCTCTTTCTTTTACACTGTATTTTTAGAGCAGCTTTAGATTCACAGTAAAACTAAGAAGGTAGAGAGGTTTCCCATATACCCCCTGCCCCCACATGTGCCTAGCAACCCCCGTTATCAATATCCCCCACCAAAGCATGAATTCATTACAATTCATGAACCTTCACTGACATGTTATTATCACCCAAAGAAAACAGTTTTGACATTAGATTTCACTCTTGGTGTTGTACATTCTATGCGTTTGGGCAAATGTATCATGACATGGATCCACAATTACAGTATCACACAGAACAGTTTCACTGCCCTAAAATTCCTTTGTGTTCCACCTGTTCATCCTTCCCCCCTTCATACCTAACCTCTTAACCACTGAGATTTTTATTCTCTATAGTTGTGCCTTTTCCAGAATGTCACATAGTTGGAATCCTATAGTATGTAACCTTTTCATACTACCTTCTTTCACTTAGTAATACACACTCAGGGTTCTTTTATGTTTAGGTTTTTTGTTGTTGTTGTTATTTATTTATTTAGAGACAGGTTCTTGCTTTGTTGCCCAGGCCAAAGTGCAGTGGCAATTCACAGACTTGATCATAGTGCACTACAGTTTTGAACTCCTGACCTCAAGCAGTCCTCCTGCCTCAGCCTCCTGAGTAGCTGGGACGACAGGTGCCTGCCACCACACTTGGCTTCATTTCATCTTAAAGCTAAGTAATAGTACATTATCTGAACGTGCCACAGTTTATTAATCCATTCACCTACTGCAGGACATCTTGGTTGCTCCCAGTTTGGGCAATTATGAATAATGCTGCTATAAACACTCATGGGCAGGTTTGTGTGTGGATAGCAAGGAGCACAATTACTGGATCATATGCTAAGAGTATGTTTAGCTTTGCAAGAAACTGCCAAACTGCCTTCCAACAAGACTGTACCATTTTGCATTCCCACCAGCAATGAACGAGAATTCCTGTTGCTCCACATCCTTGCCAGCACTTGGTGTTATCAGTGTTCTGGATTTTGGCCATTCTACTAGGTGTGTAGTAGTTGTTATTTTAATTTGCACTTCCCTAATGACTTAAAATGTGGGGCATCTTTTCTTATGCTTGTTTGCCATCCGTATGTCTTCTTTGGTAAGGTGTCTGTTAAACTCTTTGCCCAGTTTTTAATCAAATTGTTTATTTTGTTTTCGTTGAGTTTTAAGAGTTCTTTGTATATTTTAGACAAGAGACCTTTGTCGTATATATCTTCTGCAAATATTGTCTCCCAGTCTGTGGTTTGTCTTTTATTCCTCTTGATCTGCTTGATCTTTTCCACTGTGATACCTTTCTTCTTTTCTTTCTTTATTATCACTATAGAAAAGTAAAATATTGGGAGACTTCCTAGCTCAGGATCACTTTTAGAAGAAAGGGAGCTTTGAGAAAGGGAGGGAAAGAGAAAGTTATTAGGGATCACAGGGCTCTGTGCAGGAGGCAAAGGGCAGGCGAAAGCCAGAGAGGGGGGTCTGGACAGTGGGCAACACAGAAGCTCTGGACGCCTGAGAGGCAGAAGAAAGAAGATGCCAGAAGTTGGAGAAGATCTGAATGCTGGGGAGGAGGAATCTAAGAACAGATTTACTTTGAAATTTTCCTCTGCTGTTGGACTCTCTCCTTCTGGCTATCATAGATTTTAAAAGAGAGTCGATTTTTTAAAGGCGAGTTATGAAATCATTTCTACCGCGTCTGTCCTGTAACACACAAGCTGCAATTCTTCCCCATTTGTACTCACAAATAAATGGTGCTGGGGGAGGGCTGGAGGGTTGGGGGTCGCCTCCAACCGTTGTTGCCTCGGTGTGAGGTGCTAGGAAGGCAAGTTGATGACGTGGCTTTGCTGGAGGCCATGGGGGTTTTGATGGCCTTCCCTTAAATTTCATTTTCCAGCTTATTATTAACAAACATCCTGGCCAGGCACGGTGGCTCACGCCTATAATCCCAGCACTTTGGGAGGCTGAGGTGGGCGGATTGCCTGAGATGGGGAGTTTGAGACCAGCCTGACCAACATGGAGAAACCCCGTCTCTCCTAAAAATACAAAAATTAGCCAGGTGTGGTGGCACGCCCCTGTAATCCCAGGTACTCAGGAGACTGAGGCAGGAGAATCACTTGAACCCAGGAAGCAGAGGTTGTGGTGAGCTGAGATCGTGCCATTGCACTCCAGCCAGGGCAACAAGAGCAAAACTCCATCTCAAAAAAATAAAAAATATATATAAAAAAAGGAAAAGAAACATCCTGAAAGAGAAGCCAGCAAAGGGAGTTTACTTACCTTTAGTGCTGGGGCATCCTCTCCCCAGAGAGTGGAAAGGTCTCGGCCTGGCGGATCTGGAGAACAGCAGCTGAGCTGCAGGACTGGGCTCCCCTCCGAGACCCCAGAAGTGCAGAGTGTGCCCCTGTGAAAGGCACCCTAACCGCGGTTATGTCCGTGAACCGATGGTCATTTAGGCCTGAGAGCCAACAGCACGGTAGACATTCTGCCTGTCATTCTATGTGTGTCAGATGAAGTTGACTGTAAGCTTTATTTCCATTACAGCGATACATTTTCTCTGTCTTAGGCTTTGTCAGCTCAGGCTTCAGTTACCTTTTCCTCACATGGTTTGCTCCTGGCCACCCCAGGGCCCCATGGCGAGGAGTGAGAGAGGGGTTTCCCCAGGGCTTTCCTTCTTCCTCCCCTCCGCCCCCCAGATTTGGTCTGTGACAAAACTTCTTCCTAGGGTCCTGTTATTTGGGGTCTCGCTGCTGTCAGCAGAGGCCGGCCCCCTTTGCTGCACTGCTCCCTCTGGCCTAACGATGGGAGCTGCAGGATCCCAAGAGCCCTTTGTTTTCTGGCGGTTCCCTGAGGCCGCTTCTCTCCGTGCGGGGGTCTCTCTGTGCTCAGCCCTCCCTCTGGGGAGGCTGAGCTGTCACTTCCCCATCAGAGGAAGACGATCGTTCTCCGAACAGTGTTCTGGCTAAGATGGGGCCCCGGTGGAGGTGTGTGAGCAGATGACTCCGAGATTCTTCCTCATATTAAAATATTCCAGTAATCATGTCAGGGCTGATCCCACTCACGCATGGCACTTTACAAAAGATACCCAAATCATGGCCCAGTAGGCTCTGGGCCAGAACACAGGCAAGGCACCGGCGTGCTGCACAGCACCCGGGCAGATCAGAGCGTCTCTAGCGCGTCAAAGACCCACTCCTTTGAATCTCTCCGTGGGAGACAAGCCATTTGCCGGAGCCACATAATGGAGCATTCAGCCTTTGAATTGCCACTTCTCTGAAGACTCTTACAGGGCTATGAGGGCGACGGCCTCAGGACAGGAGGAAGGAAGGAAGGTAAGAAGGAGGTTTTGAGCCTTTATCTGACTAGAAAGAGGCTGTTATAGGCCCAGAAAATCAAGGTCTCACCCCCTCGCCCCTGAGAGGCAGCCAGGCGTCCTGGGCAAGAGTGGTGCTGTCTCCCCACGGCAGGGGCAGCAAGGCTGGAGACAGGGCTGTTCCGCCATGTGGCCACAAGAAGACACCTGCCAAGGAGAAGGAGGCAGTGCGGGCCCCTGAGAAGGAGCTGCCCACCCTGCGTGTGTGTGTTGGGGGCCGAGGCTGTTGGTTTCAGTGCATTAAATCATGGACTGCTCTCCACTGCGTTACTATTCCTCTGGCTGCCCT